TGCCTAACTCAAGGACAGCATATCTTCTTCTAGACCAAAGGCAAAAGCAGAAGGCATAACCTATAATTTGTCTTGTTTCTTTCCATTCCTTGCTCCCTGTTTTGCATGGTTTTACATACCCATTCTCTGCACCCAAATGTATTTATGAGAAGGGAGAGGAGAAATCTGATCTCAAATGTCATCCCCATTTGTCAGAAACTCTCTAACTACCAGGTAACGTACAGGTTTCATTGAGAAGGTTTGATCCACCCTGCGCTTCTTAATGCAGCCTCCAAGGAATCAAACGTGAAGCCATTTAAGGGCCCATCATCTCAGTCTTTAAGATTACATGTCTCCCTGTTTAATATGCTGAGTTATACTCACCTAAGCACCAGCACGGAACTGTTGGCACAGTATTAGGGAGTGATTTATCCTGCAGGCTAATTTTTAACGAAATTAATAATTTTAAAATCTATAAATACTGTGTGACTATAGACTAACAAGCTATTAACATTACTATTGGAATTCAGTGTTTTAAAAGATACATTATCACTTTGTTAGTCTTTCAGGGGGAAACCAGAAACGTTTTCTGGGAAAAACAGGAACAATAAACCTTTCAGTAGAAGCCATGATTTTTGATATATCAAGTATTTCCACCAGAAATGGAACAAGGAGGAAGCATAAAGTAAGGGAGGTCGTGTCTCCACTCTCCTAACAGCAATGAAAGGTCTTATTTATCCTGAGGTTCCAGTAAGGGATTCATTCCCTTTGTGAAGATACAGTTTTCAGGCAAACCTTGTGATTTACACCTCTGGTTTGAACTCTCCAGCTGACTGCTACCCAGTATTGAATACATCTAACTCTCCCAGGGCAATTTTTTAAGGAAGAAACTTCATGCTCTTGCCCTGTTGAATAAAGGACTACATTAACAGAACATGGGCTCAGAGAAAAATCTAGGCAGGATTATCAGAAACAGACATCAGACAGGTTGCGCGGCTCACAGGTAAGGCACAACCAACAACATCAAGGCACTCAGCCATCACCCCAAGCCTAAAGCTGAAGCCTGGGCACCAATCTTGTTCTACCTTTTTCAGAATACAGGAGTGAGCAGGTTATAGATTAAAAATGGAGGCAGTGCTTTCTTCCTTTGATCGTGGACAATTTTTGAGGACAATGGGAGAGGAGCTTGGACCTTAGGTATGTTTATCACAGCATATTTGTTTAGTTCTTACAATATCCTTCCTGCTAAAATAATATAGGCCATACTCCTATAAATAAATTAGTATTGTAATTTAATTCTCTTTCGAATATTTTCTTTTAAGTTTTTAATACTATTAACCAGACTTTTGGTCTGGTTATATTAGGGCTGTACTGGTTGCACTGCAACTTGCACAGTATGTTATTACTACCACACTAAATAGACACAAATTTGGAATGTACAAAATACATGACTTGACAACCTACAATATTATGAAATCTTTTCCTAAGCAGGAATTTAAAAATGCCTCTGGCAGTGTAATATTTATATCACCACATATTCTCAAGCATACGTAGTAATACATAAGTACTCAATGCAAAGAGATACTTGCAGAAGATCCTGCCCTCTATGCTTGTTAATTCTGTTCCTTAAAGCTATTTCTTGATAATACAGTACACCTTTAGTGACAATCCATGGCTTAAGCCATCAGTGATTTTATATTAGTGAAGATGTGCAATAATCCTCTCTGTGCTCTGTTACATAGACCTTGGTTCTCTTAAGAAACTGAATTTATAGTAAGGACCTGTGTTTGCTGGATGTGACGGTCATGCCTGTGACACCACTGATCTCCAGTGAGAGCATGTTGCCTGTTCCACTGCAGTTACCCAGACAGATGAACACACACATGCAGATTCTGTGGTGCAGTCACGGTTTCTGGTACTCTTTGAAGAACATTCCCTCATTAAGCTGAACCTTGAAGCCCCAACAGCAAAATTTACAATGTTTGGAACAGTTAAAAATGCCCTTCAATTACAGAAAATAGGGGTAAGCAAGGTGGAATAGCCAGGGCACTGGGAAAGGCTCACTCTGTTAGAAAATCTATCTTTCCAAAATTAAGAAAACATTTACAAGTAACCAGTATTATGGAGTAGTAGTTAATTCCCTACAAATCAAAACTGAAGTGTGAGAAGACAGGGCTTCTTTTTCAGAGTCAGAGAAGGATTTGCCTGCCAAAAAAGTATGTCTCTTTCCTGCTTCTGCCTGCAAGCTTTCGTTCAATTACATTCTCAGACTGCCGTGGTTAGATTACTACTAGCATTGGCTTATGAACGGACTGAATCTCACAATCATCTGTGATCTATTGCTGCAACACTAACAACTTCTAGAACTGTAAAAGACTGCAGAAATTGCAGGCTCTGTTTCCAGTTTAACAAGGTTTTTCTGTATGGTGCCCAGTGCAATTTTTGGAAAAGCATTAACAAAGTATTTCTGTCATTGTAACATTTGATAAAAAATACATCACAGTGTAGGTGAAGATTACTTTTCAAATGTAAGGCAAAGTTTGTGGATAAGTATATTATGGCATAATCCCTAATACTGTATTCAAAGCATGTGATCTCTTCTTTCCTAATGAGTTCATTTATGCAGAGGGATAACGTTTCTTGGAATTTGTATCTAAAACAATTGTATAGCAATTCATTTACCTATTAACTTCTTGATAAGAACTGATAAGAGGTTTTAAAATGTTCATTCAGGATGATCAAATCTGGAATAGAAACTCTTGTATTTGACAGTAACAGTAAAGCATTTACAGTACTCACATAATGAATTACCTAATCACCAAGCGAGCACTGGAGTTGAACACAGAATGACTTTGACATGGTTGACAATATCTAAGAATACTGAGATACACAGTTAAAACAACAGATGCCTGATGGGCTTCTTTATGGTCAGGGAAAAACTGAGTGATTCAATGATGCTATCTTCTCCTAAAAGTTTGTAACCAATTAATGAAAAATAACCTCTCAATCAAAGTTTGCCAGAGTGAAAATTCCCCAAATTGCCAAAAGCTGGCTTCATTCAATAATTTCTTTAAATGGCTTATGAAATTCTGCTCGTCCCAGAGTTGCAGGATTAGCAGCACGGGAGAGAATTCCACAGCTACAAATCTCAGCACCTCAGAGCTGGGGAAGTCAAACACTTAAATTCTGGAAGATTTTCTTCCTCACAATGGGAAGTATAAGTGAATTGTTTGCCCCAGGTTATAGGTATCAAGCTCCAGCTGACCACTGGGAAAATTTCAGAGATCAATTATTCCTCCTGTAATGTTAAGTGCAGGTGTTAGCCAAGAGAAATTTCTCCTGGATGTGCTGACATCACTTTAGCCTGTAGAACTTCTTACAGCATCACCTTCTCAAACATCACTTTGATCCTCCTACAGTCAAAGTGAGTCAGTGAGACAGTTTGTTGCAGCAGGTCTGCTTCCAGGTATGATCCATCAAGAGGCACTAAACAGGGTGAGTCATATCAGCTATCTTGACCTTGTCACAACTTTCATTAGCTTTACAGCTACCATGAAACACTGATCTTTAGAATGGAAAAGATGATAGTTGATGAAGTCGAGTCAGGATTAAAAGCGAGTTATTAATGACAAAGGGCCCATAATATCAACTGTTTCCTGCTTTGACAGCAGCTCACTCCAATAACAGCACAAGGGAAGGACCTGTTTCTGAATGAATGTATAAGATTTCTTTTTCCCTTGCATGAGCTGAGAAGAACTAAAGTGAAGATGCCTTTCTTGAGCAAGGGGCTGGATCAGGTGACCTCCAGAAATCCCTTCCAACATAACATTTTTCTACAACTCTGTGACAGCAATTCGTTCTGTCCTGCATGTCTCCCCTGCTAACTCATGAAGCTACATAAAGTGACTGCATAGGCTTGGGCGTTGGCCTATAGAGCAGCTAGCTCAGAGACAAACACTAAACTGTTAGGTGCTGTTTCAAGGTATTTTCACTCACCTTCTATGTCATCCACCACCCTTCATTTTTTGGTGACTGACACAGAAGGAGCCAACCTGAGAAAGGAGAGAAGCTATTGCACAAAGCTAGGTGGGCAAACTACACATATTCCACAACAGTTGTATTTCCCTTCCCTATAAAACCTAGAATGTAGCTTTGAATTTTCTGGACAGGAAAACTTTTTTCAGTCAAGAGTGAAATATTAAGTTACAGGAGATAGGTCTATAAAAGTACCATTTCACTGCTCAGTCAAAAAAATGCTAATCAAATCCCAGAAATCATTTAATACAATCCTTTATTCACTATATTTTTTATATAAGAGCTGGATTTCCTTTTAAAAAAACCACATGCTTTGTAACTGCAAAGAGGGTTTGCTCATTTTCTACTACCTTTCTGAAACCCTGATGCCATTGACACAGGAAAGGGTTGCAAATCATTCTATCAATGAAGCAGGTGGATAAGGTTACTTGAAGGAGCTTACTTGTCTGCGCAAGCCTCAGGAAGTAATCTCCTTACTCTGCTTCTGGTGGTGACTGCCCCATTACCATAGTGACTTCACCCCTACTACACCTGAGTTCATGCAAGCTTGAGAGTTGCATAAAACTTTGCCGTGCCCAACCAATGTTCTTTCTGTGAACCTCTCTATGGGTATCCTTCTGCAGACCAGAAGGAAAAGCCTAGAGATCTGTTGCAACTTGTCAATGATACACACAAATCATTACAAAACATAAAATAGAACGAAGATATTCCAGTGCCTCATCACCTAAATGTGTTTCATCTCCAAGGACTGAGTGCTAGAAACTATAACCACATTTACACTTGAGAACTTTGGTGGTCTAGCAACAAACATAGCGACTTCAACATTGTATGTGAATATGCGTCTATTTTTTCAAGTATGTTTCACAATGAAAATTCAGCTTTTGCTTGCATAGCTTCAAATCCCCAAAGGTATATTTCACCTTTTGCTCCTGTTACGGCTAGGAAAAATTGTTCTGCTTCACGTTGTCTCTCTTTCCTTGGAACAGGATAATGTGGATCTTGGTGACCTGATGTTTTCACTTTGCTACCTTCCAACAGCTGGTAGACTAACTATTACAATAATAAAGGCAAGAAATTTAAAGGCAATGGATATCACAGGAGCATCAGGTAGGAATGAATTTAATACTCAGTGTGGATTTCTGTCCCATTTCTCTCCCAAGTCACAGAACTCAGCACTGTCAATTCCCAGAAGGATTTTTCAGAAGAGGGTTCTTATACTGCAAGCTCTTGAGTTACTTCAGTACAGGAGTTTCTGAGAAGTAAATAACATATTTTCATTTGTTCTGCTGCAACCAACAGTTTAAAATAATCTGCTCTTAAAAAGACAGCAGGATTATTGTTTCTAAAGCCACTGTGATTCAGAATAGCACGAGTTGGCCAAACTGCATTCATAACACTGGGAATTTGATTGCACAGCAGACTGTTTGTTACGGCTATGGCACAGAGGCAGACTGACCCTCTCTGACAGTCTCCAAGAGCCACTGAGCCAGCTCTGCTGTTGTTGGCATATGGACAAAACAGTAATCATCCCAGACTCCTTTCAGCAACCCTTTCAAAATTTGATGATGAAAATAAGAAACTAATGTAAATAAGACTTCATAGATGACTTCTAAATACTAGCAGGGAGTTGTAGAGCTCCCAGAAAGGAGCTACAAAGAAATAGCTTTTTTTACTACATTCAGGAGTTTAAAAATAATTATAATTCTCTTGAGAAATATAAGCCATTAATTGTTACACTTTGAATTATATTTAACCATACATCAGTAAATCCCACTGTGTAAAATATTGTCATCTTCTATCTGCCCTACAAATCCCACAAGTAGTTGGGCTGTTATAAATAGGCTGATACACAGGCTATTGTATAAAACAGTCATGTATAACACAGTTCAGTGGATATTTTAATACCCTTTGAGAAGTCGATACACAACAAGAAGCTTCTTGATCCTAAATTGTTCATTATAAGCAGTCAACCAGGTAAACCTTTCAAAGCACTACTGCCTCCCAGGCATTCCATGGTAATAAAGAAGTACAAATTCCAGTCAGGTTGAGGTGACTAGTTCTGCAAGCAAGTTTGGGCATACAAGAAGGCTGCTCCCTTCGCTTTCCATTTATGTTTGCTTAAAAACAGCAAAAGAACACTAACATTATTCTTATGATTCACACAGATCCCTACGTGAAGGTTTCTTTAATGTGTGAAGGAAGGCGACTAAAGAAAAGAAAAACTTCCATCAAGAGGAATACCCTTAATCCTGTTTACAATGAAGCCATAGTCTTTGATGTCCCTCCAGAAAACATTGACCAAATTAACTTGTCGATAGCTGTTATGGATTATGACCGGTGAGATACCTGTAGCTGTAAAATAACATAATCTATTGGCTTACAAAGTCTTGCACAGTAGATTTGCATCCAGAAACAAAGTTATCATTTTTTCCCAATAAATGGGAAATTAATGTCATGTTGACTTTGGTAGAAGACTAAAATTTCTTGTATTGCCAGGCAGAATTTCCTTTCTAAATTTTAAAATACAGATTTGCATCCATAACTGACATAACTAAGCTGCATACATGCTTACCAGAACTGAAATAACTGAACATATAATCAGACAGTTCACACACTGATGTTCTGTTTGTGCACAGTTACGCTAACCCCTTAGACACACGCCTCCATTTCTAAAATTGTGGCCTAGAGTTTACTTGTATTTGCAACTAATTACAGAACACAGGCAAAGAACTTTTTACATTCTTCATGCAAAAATAAGAAACAAATGCACGCAGACACACAGTGTATGCTATAATGGGGAAAACACTAAATTATTCTGATTAGTGGGAAATGCAAAGAGCAAACCTACATATTTTATAGTTCATTACATTTTTCAGGCAAGAATTAATTCTAAAAATCTGTGATTAATGTTTCTAATGAAATATGTAAACGGTATGGTTCTAAAGGTAAAATTTTAAGAAAAAAATATTATGGAACATTTTCACAGTGTAGGTCACAATGAGATCATTGGAGTATGTCAAGTAGGCAACGATGCAGAAAGTCTAGGTCGCGACCACTGGAACGAAATGCTCTCATACCCTCGGAAACCCATTGCTCATTGGCATCCTCTTGCAGAGGTAAGACTTTTCTTTCTTGCTTACCCATTACTATAATTGTGAAAATTCTTCCATATGGCATTAGAAGTTGGATAAAATTTTATGAACAAAACCAAGACCCACATGCATGCACTGAATCCTAGAAAAGGGCTTGGAAACACCGATGTTAAGTCAAACATAGCACTTAAGTCTCTGCTCCTTTCAATTTTAGGGAGACAGAAAGCAGTTAATGTCTTTAATATATACCTGAAAACACCAAACATTATACACTGGATTAAGGGTTTGGTTTTGTTTTCTAGATAAGATCTTGGGTAACTTTCACTGACAATTAATATAAAGAAATGGACCTTGTTTACAGAGCAACCAAGACCTATTTTTTTATATATATAACAACCTAATCTGACTTCTCTTGTAAGAATATATCATCCATGCCACTAGCACATCTCGAGGGATGCCTAACTGCACTGAAAAAAAAATGCTTAAGTGTCTCTGGAGATCTGAGGCATTGATAAGAAGCCACACAATCAGAAAAGCTTTTCAAGGTTCCTATGGTTTTTTTTGTTTTGTTTTGTTTTGTTTTTTGTCTTTAGGGCCCTATTCAGCAGAAATGTTATGCAGGTCTTCTGCGCTTGGATGGCTGCCGAAGAGGCTTCCTCACCCTTTTAACCTATTCAGCAGAAATCTGGCAAAAAAATCTTTCTTAGCCATATCCTCAGGGGCTATTCCACAGAGTCCAGTGGGGTAAAGATGTCCTTTTAATCCCTCTGTCTAATCCTCTCCCTGATACAGGGAATGCTAATCCTGATTCATGAGACACAAAAATTCATCTAATTTCTTCCTAAGAGTTACCATGACTTACTTTTATTGTTGTTATCACTGGCTAAAGTCAGGCAGTAATCCCAGTCAAAAGAAACTACTATGTTTATGAACAGCCACAATGTTACCCCCAATGCTGAAAGACAGGAAAAAACATCCTATTCATATCAAGCCACGAGCAATGCCAAAAGCACCTGATGTACAGAGGCAGGCAGTTCGCAGCTTCTCTGCATATACTTTATGCATCAGAGTGCAGCCTTGTTACTAGAATGCAACTGAGGACTTTACCTACTTGGTTGTAAGCACTAACCCTAGGCAGTTCCATAAATAATTGTCGGGCAATAAGAAGATGCTACAAAATGGCAAAAATACCAGTCTTGCCCTGTCTCCATAAGCAATTACATTTACTGGTGCCTGGGGACCACAGCAGCACAGTTTCAGCAGGGAGACCTTTGAGTGCTCACAGGCAGTGGGAATGCATCACGCCTTTTCAGAGCATGGGTGCTGCCAACATGCAAGTCTACTGTGAAAGAAGATTGAGCAAAGTGGGGGAGCTCTGCCTATATCTTTGTGCCCTCAATGACAAGCTAAGTACTGGCCGAAGTGCCACACTTGAAATACCTACCTGGGCATTTGGGAGCTGGGTTCAGAAAACACATCACCAAGCTCTCAGCTGTAGCCAAGCATTGATAGGAATGGCTTGACAAAGCACGTGAGGAGTAGTGTAATGGTTACT